ATGGAAAAGACGTGAAATTTATTTTTTCTAATTCTCTCATATCAAATAAGAGATTATTAATGCCACTGGTAAAATTATATAAAATGAAAATGATTAAAGAACATTCCCATTTAACGGATATTGAAATTATTTGTCAAATGATCTTTTCTCTTCGAAAAATGCAAACTATAGGCGATGAAAAAACTTCTTCATCGTTTTAACGATCAAATGAAATGATGAAAGAAAAGAAGGAAATTTAAATGGTGTAATAATTTAAATAGTTAAAATTTAAAGGTTAATAATTTTAGAAAACAATTATAGGTCAATTTTTATTCATAAGAAGAAAGTGTTTAAATAAAACACTTGGACAGAGGACAATGGATATTTATGGACAGAGAATAGTGGATACTATGGGCTAAAATGTGAAAAATGGAATACGCTTCGTTCAAAAATTTTCTTTTTTTTCTGCTAAAAAGGAAGAATGACCTTCTACTGATTTAATGCTCAATGATAGAAGTGAAGTAATTGGATAGTAAAGGATGTGAAAAAAAAAGGCTTTTTTTTATTGGATCATTTTATTGATTTAAATTGTAATAATTCGCTATAAGAAGAGAGAAACTGCTTAAACGAAACAATTCTTTTCTTTTTTTTTAAATTGAATTTATCTACGAGGACATTAATGTTTCAATGTAAAAAATAGAATCCATCCATGCAATTACCTTCTTTTTAATTTTTTTTTTAAGAAAAAAGGAAAAAAATACATCCATATTATCATAAAATTACTCTAAAGAAGTATGTTTATTAAAAAAGTTTTCATTAATGTTTAAATAATTATTTAAATTAGCTTATATATTATGCAATAAAGCTTAAATTAATAATGATATTGGCTGTCTGCATAATAAGCACATTTATTATCAATTAGAATTTTAATAAAACAAAAGCGATAAATATGTAGCCAAAATTATATTAATCGACAGCTATAAGCTATTAAATTCAAATGATAAGATTATCAAAGTGAACATAATTAATGTCTGATATTTATATCCTACAGGATTTTGTCAACTCAACAATATTATAAATGTTTCAGAAATAAACTGTTAAAATAATATCCTGCAGTTATGAAATATATTTGACCTTATTTTCATCGGGAAAATCTTATCTTAATAGGAAAAAATTTTTAAAAGATTTAAAAATCTTTTGTTTAAAAGAAAATTTTTAATTGAAAAAATTTTTTTCTTTCTCTCTGTCTCAAAAACTGTTTCTCATCAATAAAAATTGTTTACCAAATGCTTTTGTTATTGGTTGTAAAATACTTTTGATAATGGTACGAAGTGTTTCGACATCATTTTACCTAACTGGTTTTCCATCATAATAATTCCTCCGTCTTTTTCTGGGATAAAATGATGCAAGAAAGATTTATGTCTAATTAGGGTTAATTAAAGAAATAAGCGCAGCGTAAAAAAAAATCTGCTAATGATAGGTATTAATGTGATTCATAATGTTAATAAATATAATTATGGAGTGAATTATGCAATAATTGATAATAATAATAAATAATAATGATAATAATAGTAATAATGATAAAATAATAGTTAATGATGATAATAGTGATAATGATAAAACAATAGTAATAACAATAATAAACAGTAATGGTAATAACAGTAATAATGACAAAATAATAATAATAGTAATAAATAATAATAATAAGATGACAGCTTAATTGCTATACGAATGATAGTACATTTCAAGTTCAGAAATGAAATAAAGACGAGAAATGCTTCTAAGAGCTATCTTTCATAAATAAGTCTTAGAGGCATTTCTTATATTATCGTTAGTTCTCGACCAAATGATTCACTTTGCTTTTTATTGTCATTTTAAATGTGTTTATATAGTTTGTTGCCCAATTTGAATGATTTCGGTATTCGAGATATCACTGAGAATTTTTTCTGCTAATGCAAAGAAAACGGTGTAAAACATTGATCAAATCGTCTATATTGCCATGGAAAATGCAATTACGAAATGGCTCTTAAAAGGTGTAACACAGCGTATCTGAAAGGTGTTAATGATGCATTAACGAAACTTTGGAATATGAGGAGAAGGAATGAAAAGGAAAAAAAAAAGGGAAGGAAATTAAAATTCTGTAGTCATTCAATTTTTATCAAGAAAAAAACACAGGTAAATTATTTGAAATAATTTGTCTAAAAATAAAATATATGGTGCTTAAAATAGATATATTATTTTAATTTGCAAAGATCATAATGAAATATGAAAAATAAGATTAACAATAAAATGATTAAAGAAATGGGAAAATTAAAAACGTATTAAACAAATCAGGAGCATTATTCTTTTCCTACTAACTGAATATTTTTTTGTTTTATTTTCAACTTTGTAACATTTAAATTATTTTTGATAAATAATTCTACAATTTTTTCGTTGGATCACTTATATTTGATATAAATTATCACTGTTAATTTAATTCTATCTTTGCAGGTAAATGCTTTTTCTTTTTTCATTTAAAAATGACTATGAAAATGTTGGAGAAAGAATGAACAGAAAAGAAGTATAATTTTGTGACAATTAAAAATGATTGTATTTATTTTACATTTATAAAGCCGTCTTTCCATTCCACGCAATCATTTTTCTTATTGCACATTAACAACTGGTTTATTCAAAAAAAAGAAAGAAAGAAAAAGAAAACATACTGAAAAATTTTTCTTAGCAGCAGCTATGAAAAGTTAAAAATGAATGAATGAATGAATGGAATTGGATGTTGTTTGATTTTTGCATTAATGAGAATAAATTTCAATCAATTATCAGCAAGATTTATTCATGTTTTTTTTTGAAAAAAGTCATAAAAATTGAGAGAGAAACCAGAAAAAATTTTAAAGCATGTAAATAATAATGATAAATTTTTATGGAAAGAAAAAAAAGAATGTAATCAAAATTTTAGAAAAAATATTTCAATCACAGATAATTTAAATGCATCATGTAAAATTTCATCACTCTTAGATAACAAATTCGAAAATCTTATCGAGCAAATTATTTATTCAGGAATTATCAAATGCATAAAGCTATCAAACAGAATCAACGATATGTACATGTTAGTGATAAAATCATAAGTAACAATTAAAAATTGATGAAATTTTATCATTTCATTTCAATTTTTTATTGCATTCCTTTATTCATTTTCATTTTTACTATTCCTTCTGTTTTGCATTTTAGTATTATTTTAAATTATATAAATTTCATCTTTCAGAAATGTTTCCAAAAAATTGAACTAATCTATTTTTAATTTCAGCCTTCAAGATTAACTTCAACTGATAATTTAATAGCTTAAAAATCTTTCTTTTTTAAATTCGGAGCAAATCTAATGGAGTATAAAATTATAGAAATTTGATAAGTTTTTTTTTCTTCTAACAAATGCTAACTTGTTTTGACTTTTGAAAAATTCATCAATTTTAGAGTAATTAAATCAAATTTCACTTTTCTCAAAGGTAAATTATATGACAGAATGAATCTCATTGCATGTTATTCATCCTTTCCAAAAATACAACAAAATTCTGCATCTATAAATTTTGCTTTTCTTCCTTTCTTTTTTAATTTCACATTCTCAATTTCATTACTCAAAGATAAATTATTCGATGATTCAGTCAATCAAACTTATTAAAATAAGTTATCAATTACTAATAAAAAAATTAGGTTTTTTTCTGTTCTTTACTGACAGATTTACTTCCATGCTATTTAAATTGTAATCTTATTGCTTATCTTTGGTTTTTACCAATCTTAGCATACTGCATAAGGTACATTAGTCTAAAATACATCCTTTACAAAGCAAACTTTGCAAAGCATATGCAAATTTTTAATTTAGTATTCAACCTATAAATTAGACTATAAGAAAAAAAATAAATGTTCTTATGGCTTAGATAATATTTCAGAAAAATTTCGTATTAATTACAATGAATTCGGTATTTTCAAATCTGTTTTTCTGATTTAAAAAAAGAAAATCTTAAAAAAAAAACTAACCGTTGAAAATTGTTCGTTCAACCGGAATGACAAAATCAGGTGGTCCAGAAGGATTTGTTGTTGAAAACCGAGTAAAATTTTCAGAAGTACAAGGAAATTGTAGTGGAACTGTTGCTGTTTGAACTATTTCTGCAGGTATTTTCATTGATTCGCTTACCGAATCACCATAAAATTTATCCGTTCTATAAATTGTTAAAAATTTTTGATAATTTCCTGTATCAATAACTTGGAAAAATGAATAATTTAAATTTGATTGAAATTATTAAAAATGTAAAATAGGAAAAAAAAATTCATTTCATAGAAATCTTATTGCTTTCTTTGACTGTTTTACATGATGCTATTTTACGGAATAAAATGAAGAATCGAAATTAAATAAAATCGGTTAATCTTTTTGATAATTTGCTCATAACATGAACAAAAAATTGTTGAAAATAGCAGAAAGAAAAGGTGTATATCGTAAAAATGGCACGACATTTGTGCTAATAAATTCATCAGTAAGTCATAAAAAAGCATATCGCTACAATAAAATCGATTTGCTTGTAATATTTTATAACCGGAATGGGAAAAGATATGCATTAATATATTCTTCGTTTTATCTTATCTCAAATAAATGCTCAAAAATGAATCTAAACTTTTTTCAAAAGTATTTTCAATTAATTGAGCATTATGGAAACTGTTTTGAAATTAAACACAGCACGGATTTATCATATCAGATACTTGCATTAAAGAATTTCATATCAAAAATTCAATTCCCGTCTAAAACAGATCCTTTTCTCACATTATTCATATTCTTTTACTGCTTATCTCTCCTTAATCTTTGATTTCAGAGAAAAAAAGGACCAAAGCTAGAATTTTTTAAAAGAATTTAATCGAACAAATTGTTTTTTTTTTAAAACAAACTGCAAAACTCAATAATTCTTTTTTTCTACTTTTAACTTTCATATTATTATTGTAATCAACAATACAGAGACTGCAAAACTCAATAATTCTTTTTTTCTACTTTTAACTTTCATATTATTATTGTAATCAACAATACAGAGTCGGCATATTCCATAGATACTTGAAAATGCTCAAAGATTTGAAATCAAAGAATTATTTATCTTTTCATGACATTATGTGAATGATTTAAAATGACTGAAAATTCATATTTCATGATAACTTATCCATTGGATAGATTACTACGAAAAAATGGAAGTATTTCACGAGAAAGTATGTTTAGTTCATAATTTAGAGATAATGAATAAATTATTACTCATTGGTAAGTAATGAAAGATGATAAAAGACAAATGGGAAGTTATATTTGTGAGTGGAATGAAGCAAAATATCATTAAGAAACGAGGGCGGAACTGCGGTGCGAAATTATTGCATGAAATATTTTAAAAAGAATGAATTTTTGAATTAACGAAAAAAAGAATGGCGACGCAAAAAGGTTCATCAAACTGATAATTTTAGATGAAATGGTGGTAAAAAGAAGAAAAAAAAAAATGGAATTAAAATGCAATGAATGACCTCGTCGAATTTTGTCAACACATTCACTTTTCTTTTTTTTCTCCCATTTCTCTTTCAGATATAATTTAACTTTTTCTATTCCAAAAAACAAAAACAAAAACACAATGAAAATTCTCGACACTTGAACTCATCATCGCTTAGTTTTAACAAATATAACAAAATTCGAAACGGAATTTGCTTTTCTGAAACAACCTAAGTAGAGTTTTTATTTTTAAGTTTGTTTTTTATCATCGCTTAATTTTAACAAAAACTAATTAGCATAAATGATTATAATTGATAAGCTGGAAAATAGTAATTGGTATAATCGAAGATTCTTTGAGAGTTATAGAAAAATTGAATTTTTCGATTAACTGATAAATTAGGGATCAATGATTGAAATGTGAAAATTAGAAAAAAATATGGTCATGAAATATTGAATTCAGCATTTTAATAGAAATAACTGTGCAAAATGAGCAAGAAATAGAAATCAGTCAAATGATTTAAGCTTTTGCAGTGCAATAATTTATCATTAAACTTATCACTAAAAGTTATCCATTATTAGAACTCCTACATATCTTTAATCTTAGATTACTCCTTCTCATTTGCTAATCACAATAAATAAAACTTTTGAAAAGGGTATATTCGGTTAATAAACAAAATACTAGAACGATTTTAATTATTCAGTATTGTATTATTGTTGTAGCCAAATGGAAGAGTTCAAGATGGAGATATTTTGTTTACATTAGCTGGTTGAAATCGACAATACTGTTTAACTGTTTTGTTTAAGACTCAATTTCTGCTTGCTTATCAAATAATTGATTTCGAATAATTTTTGTAAATTTTGAAGGAAAAACTTCACAAAATACAAACTTGAAATTTCTGAGATGTGAAGATGTTGAGGTGCGATGATCGTATATTAAAGAAGGATGATCAGTATGATCGGATAATCCCGTACTGTTCATAGCATCACTATATTGATGATATTGGTAATGTTGTTGAGATGGTTGTGGAAAGATTCCTTTGAATGTACTAGCTGATGATATCAATGATGATTTTGCTGTTGTTGCTGAATTTGATGACCTAAATTTTTCATTATTAATTATCAATTAATAGATTTAATGGTTGCATGTACAAAACCACTTCGCATCTACAAAAAATTCTAATATTTATTGAAATTTGAGTAATCAAATGTTTTGCAAAACAGAAGTTATATTTCATATATCAGTAATTAACATTTCACAATCATTACACTGTTGAATGAGCTAACCAACAACAAATCTCAAATTAAGTGGCATTGATTGAATATACAAATATATATATATCAATCATTTAAGTTATTTTTTTTGTTACCAGCCTGTCATCTAACATCAAATATTTGAAAAGATGTGGAAAGAATATTTGTTTATTTTCCTATCTCAAAAAAATAATTTTGTAATTTATCTATCTTTCCCTTTAACATTTTTTAATTTATCATCCCATTTGATTGTAATTTTTGTTTCTTAACAATTTAAATATGAATTATTAATTAACTTAAAGTTCTGTTTTTTGCGATAATTAAATTAATATCAATTTCTATCTCATCACTTTAAATAAAATCTTTTTTTGCAAATGTCTCATTTCAGATTTCAAATTCCAAATGAAAGTATAAATGAATCGTGAATTATTAAAAATAATACACCAGATACTGACCGCTAATAAAAAATTTTAATTGGATATGACTTTTCTCGTAAAAATTAAATCTTTGGTCCTATATATACATAATATATTATCTGCAATTGTTATTTTTTTCTCTACAACTATAGATTAGAAAAAATTACAACATTGCAGTAGTATTATAATTAAATAATAGGAATGATTTCGGTGTTAGATTGGTTTTAGTTTAAGTACACAATAAATATACCATCTAAAATAGAGCAAATAATTGATTGGAAGAAGAAAAAAAAGAAAAGAAAGAAATACTTACAATTTTTCAGTCTGTACGACAGTTATATCATGTACAGATAGTCGCATTTTCTGTTCTTTTTTACTACGCAATGTCCAATTTCCACTGAAGAATCCCGTTTTAAATCGACTGCTACTGCAAATTACATTTAACTTTTATAGTTTATTGCCAACTATATTCTCATTTGTGTCTGTATTTGTGTCGGCAATTATAAAAAGTTGATGTGAAAGTAATTGCATTTCCAAAATGTTAATTTAATTTCAAATCATTATCACTAAGCTTAATGAAATTAGAAACCACAACAATCAGCACCAATTATTCTATCAGGTGCGAAATTAATTTCTGTATTTTTTTGCAGCACAGCAATTAGTATCTCGAAATTTGATAGACTCTTGAAAAACATTTCCTTTCATCACTTCTGATTGCTGGAAGATGCTTTTTCTCGCAAAATGTGAAAATGATTGAAGAAGAGTTGATTTTGATAAATATGACAGAATGGATAGTGGTTCAATTTTTGAAAAATTTCATTATCTAGACGTCATCGTGAAAAACTTCTTATTAGCCATAGAAGGATGAATTTTATCAATTTTCTGATGTGATATTATCGCCAGATCAGAGTACAGAAGCTGGTCGTATATCAAACCATATCAAACAGTAACCGTGAACGATGTTTCAAATTTTTTCAAAAAATTTTCATCAATCTAATCATTTCGAAAATTAATCTATTTTTCATCGATTAAAAAATGTTTCTTTGTGCATCATTTCTGGAATTTCTTGATCAGCTTCAATTATAATTAATTCGATGATCGGTCATTGTAGAACTTGTCTTTGAAATATTACCCATTGTTACCAATTATATCAGCCTAACAGCATTTTTGTCACCTTGCAAATCGATGTTTCATAAGCTTTTTGAATAAGTTTGACTTTCATTTAATAAAATTTCCTTTGTCTAAAATAAATATGAAGCAAAGGGCAAATAATATATTATTTGCAAAAAAGAAGGAAAAACATAACGATAAGAAATGAGCATTAAAATAATATATAATTTAGGCATACTTATTTAAGAAGTCTTTTTCTTCTTTTATAAATTAAAATTATTATT